ATCCTTCAAATAGATGAGTTATGTCCAGTAAGTAAAATTGAAAGGATCGTAAACTCTGGCAGTTTAAATGTAAAAATAAAATAAGGCAGGCCAAAAAACAAAATGAGGAATGGGCTGTAAATGGGGTAAAAGCTCATAAATCCTTTTTTAAACACTTCAGCAGTAAGAGTGTCTGCTGAGCCATAGATTATCACTGCAAAAGACAAGGTAAGGCCAAGGCAGAAGAAAAGTGTGCTCTTTATGGACAAACTTGAGAAGGTTCCTGTGTTTGTTTATTTACAGGGGACTTGTAGAGGATCTGTCTGATATTGAAGTGGCTGCAGAACAAGCTATGGGACACAAGAGCAAAATGAACCTTAATATTTTGATGCGAGTGAATGATGTTCACCCAAGAGCTCTGCCAGAGCTCATAGGTGAAGTAGCTGAAGAGCTGGCTATGGGGACCAACCCCTTGCTTAAAAAAGTCTTGGGTCCTGAGGCCTAGAAAGTTGACAGATGTGACTTCAATTTTTTAAAAGGGTTCTGGAGGAGACCCAAGGAACTAGCAAAGCCTGACTGAGCCCATTATTAGAAACTGTAGTTAAAAAAAAAAGGAAAAATAGTACATACTGAGGAGGAGTCACCATGACTTTTGTAAAGAGACGTTCTACCTCACAAACCTCCTGAAGATCTTTGAAGGCATCTGTATGTATGTAGGTAAGATATGTAGATCCTCTTCACAGGGTATGCTCAGGCTTCTAAAAGGCTTTTGGTAGTCTGTCACCAAATTCAGTTCTTGCATGGATAAGCAGTTGGTTGAAAGATAGTCAGCAAAGAATATAAATAAATGGCCAGTTCTGACAAATCACAAACAAGGTCTTCAAGCTTGAACAGGTCCTTGGGTGGCCCTCTCTGAGCCACAGCCAAAGAAGAAAATGCACTGTTAGGAATAGTCATACTGGAAAAGGGCTGGGCAGGAAAATGGGCCACTCTATTAACCCTTGGTCCATCTCGCTCAATATCATGTGCTGGTCTCAGAATGGATGAAGCAGACTGAGAAAGTTTGGAGTAGGGTCAATGGAATGGCTTCTGTACAAGAAGCAGCAAAGTCGGATAGAGCTCATCAGCTATGGAAAGAGGTGGCTGAAGAGACATCTGGCAAAGGGTTGTAAAATCCTGAGGGGCATGGAAAAGGTGACTAGCAAATGATAGTTCTTTGTCTCTTCCAAAATAAGTGTAAAGGGCATAAAGGAGATTAGTAGCTGCTCTGTTCTGACAGGCTAGAAGAGGTGCTTTTCTAATAAAATGTAGATCTCATTGCTGTAGGAAGCTGCGGATGTAGAAAGCCTGCACAGGTGTAGAACACAAACATGCAACATCATGGAAGAAAAATCCATTGTGGCTTATCAAGTACAAAGACCTTTGGCCCAGGAAATCACCAAGCTGCAAAATGTGCAAGAGTATTCTGGGGAAGCATCACGTCCCCTTCTACTCTTGTGTCTGCATTTGCTGTTGGCCACAGTCAGAAACAGGTCCTGGGGAGATGGGCTGCTGGCCTGGCCTAATACAACTGGAACTGGAAACCACACGATACAGAATATTTAGCCTGGATGAAGCATGGGGTGCTATGTGGCTGGGAATGGCCTTACCAGGACTAATGGGAGAGTGAACTAGAGGGCAGCTTGCACATAATTTCTGATAACAGGTGTTTTAATTAAAAGGCATTGCAATTCAACATGGAGCCTGTGACAGAGAGGGGAAAAAAAAGAAGGAAAAATTACAGGGAGAAATGTCTGCAGACAGCAGCTTGCACAATGCTCTCTCCACAGGCTTCCACCAGCTGCTGACAGTGTATTCAAGCCACGAGGTCAGCACTTCTTTTATAAACTCTTGGTTCTAGGATATGATACACGCACCCCTGACATGTGCTCTTGCCCTCGATGAAGCAGGGTCTTTTAAGTCTTTATGGATTGAGTCCTGGGTATTTATGTTTCTATCTTTAGTTACAAAACACAGCGACACGTTTTTAACTGTAAAGCCTTTAGCTAATCATTGATAGACTGGTGCCTATAAAAAGTGCTATAGTTATTCAGAGTCTACAACTTCCTCTTTTAAAGTTTAGTGCTTACAGATTTCTTGGCTGTTTAAACCCTATTTTCATCCTGTAGAGAGCAGAACTTGTGTGATTTACAGATATCATCCTGGGATTTTCTTACCATCTAAAACAGGAACATATCCTAGCAGGCATTCAGTTACCATTTCACAAGCTGCCCCTCAGAAATTTAGACTTGAAGGCAAAATTTGGTATTTGCTGGAAAGAGAGAACAGGTTTTGTTACTCCTGTCTTTCCTGCGTGAACTGAGACACCTGGGCTCTCCTGTTCCCCAGCTATGGCTGCGTAGCTGAAGCTGCTATTCCGTGCTTGGGGAAAGACAACATTAAGTGCAGATCAGTGCTTTCATATGAATATTTACCTGCCAGATGGAGATATCAGCTCATACATGAAGTGGTTTATAACCTCAATCCTCAGGTGTAGTGTGTGTGTGACGAAGGGAAACACGCTGCTAAACTAACCCTACAAAAACCCATCAGTAGCCAGGGGTATGTATTACTTTCTAAGAAGCCTAATGTCAGAAGGTAAGGTAAAGGAATAGACTGAGATGAATGAGTTGTGAAGTTAAACAAAAAGAAGTGAATCCAGGGAATCCAGAAGCTTCTCCACGGTTCATCTCACTGACCATAAAACCAGCCAGCCTCCTGCCACTGAAGCTGGCCAGGAAAGGCAGGACTTGAGCTGAAAAAATCTTCAATATGGCTCTTGCAAGATTGTCTCCTAATGTGTACGGTAATTGTAGTCAAAAGAAGCGTGAGGTCTGCACCTCCTGCCTATACAGATAAAAGTCAGCCCTGCAGTGATATCCAGTCAGGATATCCTAGTGTCATCCAGCAGAGCGCTGCAGTGCTGCACAACAGCATGATATTGGGGTGGAGCGAGGAGAAATCTGGCATTCAGCTCAACATAATGACTCAAATGTGTTCTGGATGTCAGAGCTGCAGGTGTCACCCTGTGGTAGGTGCTAGAGCCTGCAGAGGAACAGACCTGCGCTGCTGACAGACAAGGTTCCTGCTAACATGTCCAAGATTGCAGCCTCACTGCAGAAGAGGCCAAAGTGAGTTGATGCAGTAGACATCACTGTGGATCTGCAGGCCCTGTGTCACCCATATGAACCTCAGAGATGCTTCTGCTCTGTTCTCACTGTTCCCTAATGGAGCTGGGCAAATAGCATCTTCCTGGGTGCCCCTCAGGGACGAGGGGGAGGAGAGGGGAGCAGTCTTCTCTCCTCTTCCCTACAGCAGGCAATGCCCCAGCTCTCCACAGCAGAGTGCCAGAGCAGGGCACCTTCTTTTATCTGTGTCCATCAGAGCATGAGGTCTTCCAGGGGCAGGTCCTAGCTCTTCAGTGAGATCATTTCAGCTGCACACCTTATGGGGGAACTGGTCTACAGAGGAGGGCCAGCAGAGATGAGAAAGACAGAAAAAAATCCTGCCTCTGCCATGCCCATTATTCAAAGACTGAATACTGTAGCAATATTTTTATGTACTTCCATCAACATCACACAAAGCTGAAAAGGTATCGCCAGCCACGTCCTGCGTAGTGCTACTATGATTTTTCCAGACTCTCTTAGGCTAGCATTGATATAGGCAGTGGGAGGAGGGTACCTCTGTAGCTCTGGGGATTTTTAGCTTGAGATAGGAGAATCCCAAAGGGAAGCAGAAAAAATGAGACAATTTAGCAAAACTGACAGGAATTAATGAAGTGATTCTGTTCCCCTGTCCCTGTGCTTCCAGGTGAACAGGCTTCATCAAAACAATATTGTCTGTTCTGTGTCTATGGGGTGAGGAGGGCTCTGCCTGACCAGACAAATTGATTTCATTTTGTTTTTTCTTACATTTTGCCATCCAGGATTGTATGTTTGGGCACTTCCAGATGAGAGAGAGAGGACTGGGCTTACAAGCTGTCACAGGACCTAGAACTACAGCAGCAATGACACTACAAGTTGTCTAGGGACAGCTGACAGCCAGGTGCCCTCAGAGTCGCCTCACCTTTCCATAAATGAGCTCTACAGAGAAACTAAGAACATCCATTAAACGAGGAGGGGAAAAAAAACTGATAAGTGCATAAACCAGCAACTAACTTTTGAAGAAAAATATAATGTGTATGAATTATATCACCGTTGCCAGTATTGTCTTTCTTTCATGCTGCAGTTTCTTTGGTCTACCTGACAGGTAGATTGTGAATTTTGCAACTGCAGTTGTCCCTGGGATTAACTGCTCTTGTCCATAGCATATGACAGTTTAAGGCATGAGGTGGAAATTACAGGACTCAACACGTGGGGACAGGCAGAATGTGATTACTTGAAACTATGCAACCAGGAGACAGGAGCCAAAAAAAGTGGTATGAATTCTCCGGGCCTGCCAAGTGGCAAACGAGCTTGACTTGTTTTTTACTGAATTGCATTGGGCTTGGGGTTTTTCAATCAAAAGTCAAGTTTGAATTGTTTCTCAAGCATTCCTCTTTCTGAGTGATTGATCATTCAGAGATGAGTGATGCCAACTGAGACCATTTATGCAGAGTGGTTGCAGGGTGAGAGGGATGCGTGGGTGACTGAAACGCTTGAGTGGCTGCTGCCACTTCTCTGCCCTGAAGGAGAGCTGTGGGCTTGCAGAGGAAGGGACTGAAGAGGAATGCTGAAAGGCTGATGGGGTAGTTGCAGGTAAGCAAAGTGTTACAGATAGGTGCCGTCCACCCTGAGGGCCATTGTGCTGTCTACGAGGTTTGTACAGGCTTTGTGTGTGCAAATTCTATGAGAGAAAGCCTGCTACTACTGTGATTAAGTGATTTTTAAGAGATTAAGGACTGCAGTAAAGTGATTATTTCCATTTGTTTCCCAAAAGCAGATGTGTGCTCTGTTAGGGTTTTGACACACAGGCATTTACAGTCTCTCTCTCTCTCTCTCCAGGTTCTCAAGCATCTGCGCCACTTAAATTTCACCAATAACATGGGGGAGCAAGTGGATTTTGATGAGTTTGGGGACCTGGTAGGGAATTACTCAATAATCAATTGGCATCTCTCTCCGGAGGATGGCTCAGTCGTCTTTGAGGAGGTTGGGCACTACAACGTTTATGCCAAGAAAGGGGAGAGGCTCTTTATCAACGAAAACAAGATCCTATGGAGTGGATTCTCTAAGGAGGTAAGTGCTTAAATCCTCACAGGAACGTTTCCCACTTTTCCACAAGCTGAAACTTGAACTCACCCTGCGCACTTGTGTATTATGGCACCATGTGTCATTAAAGGACCTGTTCATCTTACTGTACACATGGTCTCTGCCGTAGTCTTTTACACCCTCGTTAGACACTTCTGGAAATAATGGGCAGCTGCTTCTCCCCTGCTATACATTTGATGAGCCTGGGTATTAATGGTTTAAATAATACCTTTTTTCTGGCTCAAGTAGATAGCTTGGAATTCTGCAATGGTGTTTCCACAAGGGTGAGAAATTCATTACCCAAGTCTGGTTGTTGACTAAGTAAAGTTTTCCTGAGCTCAGTAGTTTCATTGCTGAAAACAGCCACTCTCGGTATCTCTGTATCAAGAAGTGTCTCTTCCTGCTCCTAGTTATATTTGCAGCTGTTTCTTCCGGCTTCACCCTCAAGTCCCAGAGCCTTCCACACACCCTTGCCTTGCAAACCAAACAGAACAAGCCCTGTCAATCTTCCCAGGTTATCTTGGACATGTTGCTCAAATAGCAGGAGATGCCAGTACCTGCTACCTTTTTTTAATGTACCAGAAGGTGCTTGTGCAGTCTCCAAAGTATATGATACAGCTGCTGAGTTTGGTCAGGCCTAAGTCCTGCTCCGCTTTCTTGCATCTGTGAGATGTTTTCAGCATAACTGTATCATCACTAGCAGCCAGGGCTGTGTCTCCCCCATGTGATGGGAACGCGGTGCAGGGATCTCCGGGCAGGAGCCAGGGGAGCTGCCATTGTAGCTGGCAGCACCCACTCCAGCCTAGACAGAAACCCTGGCTCCCAGAGGGAATACTGAGCCATCACCTGGCTTGTGGCCTGGGAGGTGACACAGGGAGCATTAGCTTAGAAATGTCACTGCCAGGCCCTGCTGCAGTGTTTAGATGTGTTAAATCAGCACCTGATTAATGGACATGGCAATTCACTTCCAGGGGATTATTCACATTGGCTGGCAGATCAGGCAGCTCCTTCTGCAGTAGCTACACTTGCCTGATACACTTGCACCACCGGTTAAGCCTTACCTTTACTCCAGATACCCCAGCTTCACTTATGGTTTAAATCCAGAGCTCTCTGAAGGAGGCATCGGTCAGGCAGAGCATGCTGCAGCAGAAATACTGAGCTCAGGCTTTTCTAAGCCCAGCTGGAGACTCTTGAGCCCAAACTACAAGTGGAACTAAAAACCCCTGATATTCTAACCCCTGCTTCTGATCATCGCAAACGCCACTGACATCTCTTCCAACAGGCAGGATTTTTTTTTTTTAACTTAAACTGAGTAATTATGTTCTCTTGGTCTAAATTCCTCCAACAGTGCAATATTTATCTTCATTCTCTGTTCTGAACTGTTAAAAATGTGGCTGAATGTTACAGAATGTCATGCCAGGGCATGTAATTTGTGTGCCATTGGAGGGGTTTGTAATCTCGATGACTGTTGCAGCTTTTTTTCCAGTTTGAGTTTCTTCCAAGTAAAAGGCTCTGCTCAAAAAAAGTAGCCAGTACTTCAGTCACTGAAGCCTTCTATGCCTCTGTCACCCTCAGAAAAGATTAGATGTAGTTAATTTTAACACAGGAACTTCAGCATTGGCCAGACTTGCAAAAGAACAAGTTCAAGAGTAGGTAAGATAGATTCGTTTTGGCAGAACTTGATGGAATTCCCTACAGAATACTTAAGAAGGCAGTCAAAGCAATCGCAAAAGTACTAGCAATTCAACTTTGAGAAGTGTGGAGGATGGGTGATGTCTCAAAGGATTAGAGAAGGGTAATTGTAATACCGGTTTTTAAAAGCAGATATAGGAGAGCCAAGGGAATTACACACAACTGAGCTGACCTGAGTAACCTAAAAGACTTGATTAAAAAAATGTATTAAACTATAAACACCTAGAGGATAATAAACTGATAAGAAAAAGCCAATGTAGATTTCTTAAGAATAAAACATGGCAAACCAATTTAATTTTCCTCCTTGGAAGCTCAATTTGTTTAGTAGATGATGGGGAAGCAGTGCAGGACTTCAGTCAGGCTTTTGATTCAGCCCTGTTCAAAATCATCAGTGACAGCTTAGGGAAAGCCAGTCTAGACTGATGAAGTCCTCTTGGTGGGTGAACAACCCGGTCAAAGGCTA